GGATGTTAGCTCTAGAGGGCAGGCTTTGTCCTGTTCTTCTCTGGCTCCTTGATCCTAAACTATGCTCCTACACACTGTAGGAGCTCATTTGTTAAATGAATTTTTAAAAATATTTTATTGACTTTTTAGAGAGGGGGGAAGGCAGAGGGAGGTGGAGAGAGAGAGAAACATTCATGTGAAAGAGAAACATCAATCGGCTGCCTCTTGAGCACCCCCTACTGGGGATGGAGCCCACAGCCCCGTTATGTGCTCTGTCTGGAATTGAAACAGTGACCTTGATTCAAGCACTTCTCTACCGTCACTACCCTGGTTCAAGCCCCCACACAGTTCCCACAGCCCCTCGGACTTGACAACTGATTGCCTGAGTCAGGAAAGTGAGGGAGGAGCCTGAGGTAACTAGTCTTTCCTTTTCCAAGTCATGGCACCTCGCCAATCCGCCCATGCTCCACAAAGCTGCCAGAGCAGCCCTCTAAAATCACAGATCATGTCATTCCTCTACTTAAAATCTTCCAGTGGCCCTCAAGGCCCAGCATGCCCGCCTCTCGAACCTCACCTCCAATCACTTCACTCCTTGCTCTCTCCTTCCCATACTTGGCTTTTGTTCCTCAAACCAAACCTACCTCCAGTACCAGCCACTCCTCTGCCTTCCCCAGCAACATGCATGGATCTCAGCTCCTATGCCATCTCCTCAGAGAAACCTCTGAACATCCAAACTGAAACAGAGGCTCCTCCTCTCCCACAACTCCCATCCCCCATTAGCACATCACCCTGATTATTTCCTTCCATCACCCATCACACTCTTCTTGTTCACTGATTTGGTAACTTGATTTGTTCCTCTCTTTTTTTTACCTCTCTTCCCCCCAGCATGCCTAGCACATAGTTAAAACTCAATATTTGGTGAATGAAACTGTACTCCCACTATAATGATGGCGGTGATGGTGGTAGTGGTGATGATGATGATGATACAACAATGATCCCAATGATACTCATACAAATGATACTTTCCCACAGTGAGATGCTTGTTTGAGTGTGTGGGTCCAAGGACTGATTACAGCATGTTCTTGACCATCTAGACATAGAATCCACTTTTACAAACTTTGTCTGGGCTTTGAAGCTGTGTGTGTGTGTGTGAGTGAGTGTGTGTGTGTGTGTGTGTGTGTGTGTGGGTGTGTGTGTGTTTAATTCATGCCAGGAAACCTCATAGTCATCATTAGGTCCAATGTACCATCTTTCTCCATAGATACCTACTCAGTAAAAGCAAAACGAGATTGTGTCAGGAATCCTCTATTGCAAGCCACCCACTGCCGATACTATTTTGAGAGTGCACCAAGGAACGCAGAAGGCCAGAGAACCTTGAGCGATAGCAGGGCTAACGCCAAGCACCATTGTTTGTTTTGAGATAGTGGTTGGCTCGAAGCATTTTTCTGACCTAATAGTGTCAAAGTAAATGTTTACTGGACCTTACTGATCTCTACTCAACTTTATTGACCTTAGAGACAGTCTATATTCTACCTGTTTGCCGTGCTTTACTGTATCTAAAACTGAATAAAAAGCAGATAAGGCCAGGTTTCAGTGTGCCTCTCCAAGAGAGAGGTCTCCAACTGGCCCCCCATGCCTTCTAAATTCACATTTCCTGTCTAGTGTTTTCATTTGTGCAATGGCCCCTCCTTCAGATCCTGAACCCTAGCCGTGCAGGGTGCGGCACTCTATCACTTTGCAAGTGGGATGGATTTACTGTGTTTGGTAGACAAATATTGAGACAAGATGCTCTTCACAGTTCCCACACTCACTCTGCTAGGAAGGATTTGATAACATAAGAGAGAAAATACAATCAACCAAACAGTGCTGGAGGAGAAACGGGGGCTGACAGCCAACAGGGACTATGGAAGACAGATTCTGGCTAGAAACCAAAGCAGGGTGACCTGTCCGTTTTAATAACACTGGGGAAAACTTAAAGGAAAACATAATTGACCACATCTCATATTGCTCCTGAAAAAGAGAACCTCAAAAAGCAGAGATGGACGAAATCTCAGGCACTCATGTCATTGTACAGATGGGTAATTTGAAGCCCAGAGAGGAGAAAGGAACTTTCCCAAGGTCACACAGAAATCCCATCGCTGATCTAAGATTGGAATTCTCACTATGAGAAATTCACTGCTTTTCTGGCATATAACATCATAGGTGTAAACCTAACTTTTAACCTACAGTTAGCTAAGTCGTTCACGTGTGGCCACAGAAACTAACAAGACAGTATTTCCAAAACTCACCCAAATGCCGATGGCTTATTTCTAGCTCGCCTTTCCCTTGGACCATAACCAGCCTATCATAAGGTACAGTATCACTTCCTATTTGATAGCTAATGTTATTAAAAAGAGGCAGGAATTGCATATATATATATATATATATTTAATTTTTTTAAGAGGCAGAAAACAACCAAAAGATATATAGATATATGTTGATAGAGAACAGGGTGTGCACACAAGACTTACAGAGTCAGTAGGTGGGTCATATAGAATACTGAACATTCTTTGAAGCCATGTCAAATCAGAAATCATAACTCTCACCCAATAAAATTGCAGGAGAACAAGACCATTTGAGAACATGTAGGGTTCTGGGTGGGAAGAAGTGATAAGAGGGTAAACAAGGTTAAGTCTACTACTCAGAGCTCTACATTACCAGGTCACATTATCTGGGGGATCTGGATGATACTTCTATTTTAAAAATCTAAATAAAAATATATAAATAAATGTATTTCCAAAGAACATATGTGGAACCTGGGACCAAACAACAAAAGGTAAGGAAGCACAAAGCACCAATCAGACCTAGGGCCTAATCCTAAATATTTACCTGAGTAGGGTAAATACTTAAGCTTTCTTTCTTATCTTAAGGTTAACAACAACAATCTACACTAATAAAAGAGAAAGATGCAAATTGACCGTACCTTCGTGACACCTGCCAGCCAATCAGGAGTGAATATGCAAATTAACCCAACAAAGCTGACAGGTTAATTTGCATACACAGATGCCCAGTGGCTGGGGGCGGGACACTTGAGTCATCACCATGAAGCATCCATCTTATTTAAAAACTGTTGTTTGAAATTTTAACCCTACTATTTGGCTTCTGTAAATGCTTTCTTGCTTAAATGATAAGGAAAATAAGACTTCTCCCACTTCAGAGATGCCATTAAACCTTCCCCGAATGCAATTATCAGTGCTGGCACCAGGCCAACCCTTTGGTTGAGGTCTCAAGGCCCCAGCACATACGGGCTCTTTAAGAACTTGCAAAGGGAGCCGGAAACATCCCATATTTGGGAGACAAAGAAGGTAAAAACATATAAATGGGAAAAAATTCCTCCATGTTGGGACCCAGAATTTGAGAGACATTTCCCTCTGGACCCATGTGTAATAAATGTAACTCCATCTCTCTAAGTATTGTTTGGTTCTTCTCTGGTTTTCTATAACAACTATGGCAACAATGCAGGCATTCCATACCACCCCAGCCGCTCCGGGCCTCTGGGCAATGTGGGAAGGCAGAAAGATGGTTCTGGGCCAGAGCAAAGGTGGTGCTGGCAGCCAGGGGAAGGAGGCCCATTCTTGCACAAATCTTCCTGCAGCGGGCCTCTAGTACAATAATAAACCTAGATGGCACTTACTTATCCATACCATGGTGACAAAATATGCCAGGCAATGCATTAAGCACTTTATATGCTTTTCTTCATCTAACCCCCATCTCAGAGAGATGAAATCACTTGCCTAAATATATTACCAATTTGTAGGACCAAAATGTGGACTCATTTGAGTTCTTAATAATTGTATTTCAAAGGGTGGTGGTGAGGAGGAAATTTAAAATTTAAGAAGGAAAATACCTTGCCAAGTGCCAGCGCTTAGAATGTGTTCCCTATGCAGTAATGTGTGTCCCCTCCTGGCCTTATTCATAACCCTTTTATCCTGTTTAAGGAAGGGGCACTAAGGCTCAGTCCTCCACTGCCAATTCTCAAACCATTGGTTGCCAAAGTCGCTGAATTCCTGGTCAGTCACCTGGGGGACAGATGTGGAGGGAACGCCAGAAGAAGATCCCCAATGCTGTCCGTTCCCCTTCCAGCTGGAGGGCTCAGAATATAGGAGGCAGAGGGAAAGGGGTGCCCTGGCTCTACCATAAGAACTGGAGCATCTAATTTTCTTCTCAGGAAGCAAGGAGCTGGGCTGCAGGACCCCTGCGGGGACCATGGAATGGTGACAAAGGGCTTGTGCTCCCCACGTGATTTAACTTCTCACATCCTGCCCCATTTTCAAAATGTGGGATAGACACCATAACAAAGAATAATGGTTTATAGTACACAAAATTGTTAAATAATTTGCAGTACACAAAGTTATTTTTTTAAAAAAATCAAATAATTCGCCAGAAGTGCTTAGCAGAGTGCCTTGGACATGGTTAAGCATCCAACAAATGTCACCTATTACTACTATTGCCCTTATTACTATCAACACCATTACTCCAACTCCAGCATTTGAGGTGTCTCTATTAAGCCGGGGGCTTCCTTTGTAAATGTGTTTAACGGTCTGTCTTAAGAGTGGCACTAGAGCCCTGGGTTTTGTGCCTTCCATGGCACAAGGACTAGCTTTTCTGCCTCCAGAGAAAGTCAGCAATTTCAATGTCGGCTACCTGCAGAGTTCTCTTCCCCCTTCTGCTCTTTCAGCCTCAGCAGCAGAGGCCCAAGACCCAGACTTTGCAGCCCGCCCACCTCAGTCACCATTGGCCGCCTCTTCGCTGGCGTGACTAAGGCCCCGCCCCCTTCTCGCTGGGCCCACTCTAAGGCGATCTCCCGAATGGGAGGGGCCTCGGAGGGGCGGCCGCAGTGCATCCTGGGCGTTGTAGTCCACCCGCACCTCTGCAGCCAAAGAGCAGGGCCTCGCGACCCGGAGAACTACAATCCCCAGCAGCCGGGGCCTCGAGCCGGGAGAAGGGGGGCTCGCGTCACGTGGGCGCTCAGCCTGGGCGGGCTATTTCTCAGTGCAGCGGTGGCAGCTGGGGGACCGGGGCCTTTTGTTTGGAGCAGCTGCAGGGGGTGGGCCCCCGGTGGGCCCCAGGAACGGCGAGACCGGCGGCCTTGCCCAGCTCGCTCGGTCCTGGCCGCCCCTCCCAGGGGTTGGGGGGCCACCCCCTGGGCCGGCCTCGCCCCAAGCGCCACCGTCCCGCCCTAGGCCCGCCCGCCCTAGGCCCCGCCCGGCCAGCTAAAGGGGAAGAACTGGCTGGGCCTCCTCGCAGGGCCTAGCCACCTCCGGAGTCGCAGCCACCACCACCATCACCACCACCACCCTCGGTGCACCGAACCCCAGGCTGCCCCTCGCCCCTCAGGCCGTCGCCATGAAGATCAAGGATGCCAAGAAACCCTGTAAGAGGGGCTTGGGCTCCCTGGGTCGGGAGGGCGCCTTGGGCCCCGTCTGGAAGCCCCTGGGCAGAGCGGCCTGGCTCCGAGCCCCTCGCCCATCGCCCGCGGCCTGCACAGGGTTTTAGAGGCCCCATCGCCTCACCCCCCTATACTTTGCCTGCAAACGCCTTCCTCCCTCCACCCCTGGCCCTTTGCTCCCACTTCCGCCTCGAGGCCTGGGCGGTGCGAGAGGGAATTTTTAACCTGAGCCCCCAGCAGCGCCTGCTCCAGCCGCCTCTGCTGTCTTCTGTGTTGGAAATGGGTGGTCATGGCTGTCAGATTGCGCTGGAGCAGTTGCTGATCTGGGGCTTTCTGCTTGTGTCCTTGAAATCGCGGTGGGTTCCAGGGGGTGGTCACTGTTGTTATACATTAGAGCTTTTCGAGGCCTGTGCCTCTAACCTGCCAGTGACTTCTTCATGTGGAGCATAAAAATTAGTGTATGTTTGTTTAAAAAGCAAAAAGATAAAAATGGCAGGCATTTCGGCCCCTCCAAGCTAACACCACTGATACTGATTAACAACTAGTATTAACCACTCTTAAGTATTTTGGTGGATACTCAGATGTTTTTAACAACTATATATGTGCAAAACATCCTTTGAACGAGCAGATGAACTTTTATTTGCTCTCTTTTAATTTTAGCCTTTTAAAATAAAAGAACATTTTACTTCTGTAAATGGCTTATTTAATCACTCAGCTATTGGGATTGTCACGCTTTTAAGTGCATTCTTCCAGAGCAGCTAGGAATGTGGAGAACTGTGGGATGGTGTTTGTAGTCTCCAGGTTTGGGAGTGTCTCAAGTGATCCAGCAGATCTAAGAAAACTGATAAAAGGGAGCCCTGATCATTTCCGCCCTTCAGGTTTTGTTTTTGTTTTGTTAATCCTCACCTGAGAATATGCCCTTCCAGCCCCACCCCCGTTGATTTTTAGAGAAAGTGGAAGGGTGGGGGAGAGAGAAAATCATCCAGGTGAGAGAGACGTGGATTGGTTGCCTCCCGCACAGGTAACCGACCAAGCTTGGATAGAGCCTGCATCTGAGGTATGCACCCTGGAATCGAACCCGGGACCCTTCAGTCTCTGGCCAATGCTCTATCCACTGAGCCATACCAGCTAGGGCTATCATCAGGTTTCTTGTGAACCTCAAAGGAGAGGCAACATACCAGAGCATCCTGAAAACCTCTTAATTGTTATTTAAATGTGAAATAATTTGATCTTAATTTTACAGATGAAGAAATTGAACTTGGGCCCCAGAGTAACTCTTGCAGAGCCAACCAACTGTGCTAAGGAGGGTCAGGGCCTTAGGTCGGCTGACTCAGAGCCTCGTATTTTTTCTTCTGCACCCATAGGGCATAGCTACTCTAAACACTTAAAAACACAAACCTTTCTGATCTGGTAGTTATATTTGCCAATTTTTTTTTTTAAACGCTAATGATGATTTCTTGTGCTAAAGATTTCTTTAAAGTAGTGATGTGAAGCTTAAATGACAAAGTAATACATTAGCTGAATTAAACTAATCTTGAATATATGCAGTATGTAAAACACTTGGACATCTTCTCTCAACACACACATTTTCTGTACTTGTCTTAGAATTTCCATTTAGTGGGATGGGTTTACCTCTGACAGGCTCAGATTCTAACTCTTAAGGTATTTTTTCTTTTTGCCGTGATACTGATTTGGTTAGTTGGATTTGGGAAAACTTACACTCGGGTATGAATACCACTTTGGTCAAAGGTGTTTTCCACAAAAGTGATAATTAAAAGTTTATAAAGTAAGCTTTAGGTGGAGAAATGAAAGAACACCTGTTGATTAAAGGTAAGTTGGCTATTACTACATTGTGAGACCATTAATGTTAAAATAGGGTCATGCTGAAAAACTAGCCAGTTAATTTGATTTAGACGTCTAAAATAACATTTTCAGTTTCTTAATATAAAAGGTGGCTTTTAAATAAATGGTAACTTTACTCAATTTTTTTTTTTTTTTTTTTTTTTAATCCTCACCCAAGGATATTTTTCCATTGGTTTTTAGAGAGGGGAAGAGCGAGGGAAAGACAGAGAGAAATATAGATGTGAAAGAAACACATTGATGGTTGCCTCCTGCTCAACTCCTGACCAAGGCCTGGGCCACGGAGGAGCCTGCAAACCGTCCAGGGCTCCAGGTATATAATATAATTCCAGGGCAGTTCTTATTTTCTTTCTCACACAGAAAAACCCAAGATGTTCTTTATTTTACCATAAAGAATTGAGCGGTTTGCCTCATTGGCTAGACCCTCAGCCTGTGGACTGAAAGGTCCCAGGTTTCATTACCATCAAGGGCACAAGTCCAGGAGGCAGCCGATCAAAAAAAAAAAAAAAAATGATTCTCTCATCATTGATGTTTCTGGCTCTCTCTCCCTCTCCCTGCCCCTCTGAAAACAATAAAATGTATCCCATATAATAAAAGGCTAATATGCAACTCGACCGAACGGCGGGATGACTGGTTGCTGTGATGTGCACTGACCACCAGGGAGCAGATGGTCAATGCAGGAGTTGCTCCCCTGGTGGTCAGCGCTCTCCTGTAAGGGGGGCTCTGCTCAGCCACAAGTCGGGCTCAAGACTGGTGAGCGCCGTGGCAGTGGCGGGAGCCTTTCCCTCCTCCACAGCAGTGACCCCTCGGGGGGCTGATAGTGTGTGTGTGCGTACTAGAGGCCCAGTAAATATACATACACACATATACTAGAAGCCCAGTGCATGACATTCGTGCACTGTGGGGGATGGTCTCTCAGCCCGACCTGCACCCTCTCAGTCCAGGACCCCTCAGGGGATGTCCACCTGCTGGCTTAGGCCCCTCAGGGCAGTCAGACATCCCTCTCGCAATCTGGGGCTCTTGCATTCTGGGACCCCTTGCTCCTTACCGCCCACCTGCAGTGGAGGCAGGAGAGGCTCAGCAGTGAAGTTTCTGGCTGAGTGGCGCTCCCCCTGTGGGAGTGCACTGACCCCTATGGGGCAGCTCCCACATTGAGCGTCTGTCCCCTGGTGGTCAGTGTGCATCATAGTGACCCGTTGTTCCACTATTCAGTTGATTTGCATATGAGGGTTTTATTATATAGGATATATGGCTAGAAAGTGTTACTTCTAATTTTTTAAATCACTCAGGTTCGATATTAGATATGTATTTGTTTTGTTTTTGAGTACCTGTATAGGGTTTTTTAATTATAAATTTAGTGAACACCTAAATGTATGTATAAGGCACTATGTGCATTGAATCATTTAGCCCCTGTAGCACACCACTAACTAGAAGCTATATCTCAGACTGGTTAAATAAGTGACTTTGGCTTCACACACTTTCTTACATTATACTCCTAAGGTTTATAAAACAATTGCTTTTAGATACACCTCTAATATATGACCAGGTTATTTACAAATGCATTTATTTAACTAGAAAATAGGGAAAGGAATTGGTTTCATCCTCTAGATTATATAACAAAAAGATTATCATTTTCAATTACGTGTGAATTAAAGTCCAGAAAAAGGATGGCGTCAAACATTAACCTAATGAAAGTTTCTTGCTAGTTAAAATATGAGAACCAAAATAATGACAATATTTGTTTAATTTGCCATAAGCGGTTTTTCACACCGCTTAAATATTAGATATTAAAGATTCTAGAAATCTGAATAATCGTGTTCCTCTGTGCCTCAATTGGCATGATTTATTAAGGTATAGGCTTTTTCAGCCTTTTTTTTTTTTCTTATGTGGCATATAAATATAATTAACAAAGTGACAGTAATATATATTTGGTTAATCCTCACCAGAGAATATTTTTTGCATTGTACAGATATTTTTTTAAAATTTGGTGTGATATAGGCTTTGGAGTCTGTGCTTTGCTAACCCAAGCAGTAAGTTACCTGAAATTTTTGTTAAAACCAGAGAGAGTGATATAGCATGTATTTGTAGTTTGTCTGTGCAATTTGATTGGCCTTGTAAGTTGAGTCACTACTTAAGAATTATCACTTTCAGAAAACATACTAAATTTATGAATTTTGATCTCAGAAGTGTTTTGTGAACTTGACCTCAAAGGCAAGGGAAATAAAAGCAAAAATAAAAGAACGGGACTACATCAAACTAAAAAGCTTCTGCGCAGCAAAGGAAACCATTAACAATACAGAAAGGCATCCAAACTAATAGAACATGTTGCAGACGATACCTCCGATAACTGGCTAATATCCAAAATATATAAAGAGCTCCTATAACTCAACAAGTACCAAAATAAACCAGTCTAAAAATGGGCAGAGGACCTGAACAGACACTTTTCCCAAGAAGACATACAGATGACCAACAGGTATCTAAAAAGATGCTCAGTGTAACTAGCTATAAGGAAAATACAAATCTAATTTGGCATAGGATCCCTTTGGGCTGAAATTTGCATTGGGCCAATAGCAATTAAATATCTATATCTATATCTATATATCTATATATATCTATATATATCTATATATATATATATATATATATATAGATATATATAGATATATTAATATATATTGATTTTTTACAGAGAGGAAGGGAAGGGGATAGAGAGTTAGAAACATTGATGAGAGAGAAACATCAATCGGCTGCCTCCTGCACACCCACTACTGGGGATGTGCCTGCAACCAAGGTACATGGCCCTGACCAGAATCTAACTGGTTTCGGCTAAATATCTCTTTAACGATTCTTTCCCATCCCTTTACCAGGACTTAGCAAGATACCAAACTTTATAATGCAGCAGTCCAGCCCCCGTGGCTAGATATCTATCTAAAGCTGTTTACATAATCTATGTGATAAGAATTCTTGGTTCTGGATATTTCATAATTTATGGGGAACTACTGGCAGCTCTCTTAGACTCCTATCGGAAATAGAATGGTAGCTGTTGTTTTTGTTGTTAATGTTTTAAACCAAATACACAGATCACAGGAAATTCTCAGTCTAGAGAAGGTAATATATATTTGCCATCAATAAAGTATTTATACTATGGAATGTGTTTTATTTTTTAAACATGTCTTTTGGTTCATTTTTTTTTTTACCTTGGTAGAAAAGAGTTTTATTCTCAAAAGATAAGAAATGTTTAGGTTGCCCTAGCCAGTTTGGCTCAGTGGATAGAGCATCGGCCTGCAGACTGAAGGATCCCAGGTTCGATTCTGCCAAGGGCACATGCCCGGGTTGCAAGATTGATCCCCAGTAGGGGGCGTGCAGGAGGCAGCCAATCAGTGATTCTTATCATTGATGTTTCTATCTCTCCCTCTTCCTCTCTGAAATCAATAAAGAAATTTAAAAAAAGAAATGTTTAGGTCATATGCAGTAAGTGCGCTGATGACCTGCTTTGAACCTGTCCCTTGGCTAGAAGCAACAAAGCTAGTTACTTGTCTGATTTCTTAGGAAACTAATATTTTTGTACTTTCACTGCAGATAATTAATGTTTGAGTTCCATGCCCCACCCCCCATTCATTTTGATTAGTGACAAATAACTTTTTTAATGCACTGGAAAATGTAAAAGTTGGTCATTAGACCAATTGCTAGATGAGAGGAGTGATAATTAAGAATTTGTGACTTCTGTGTTCTGTTGACTCCCACATAATTTTTTTAAAGAGGAACTTAATTTTTTTTTAATTGATTTTAGAGGAAGGGAGAGGGGGAGAAAGAGAAACATCAGCCCTGACCGGTTTGGCTCAGTGGATAGAGTGTCGGCCTGCAGACTCAAGGATCCCGTCAGGGGCATGTACCTTGGTTGCGGGCATATCCCCAGTGGGAGGTGTGCAGGAGGCAGCTGATCGATGTTTCTAACTTTCTGTCCCTTTGCCTTCCTCTCTGTAAAAAATCAATAAAATATATTTCTTTAAAAAGAAACATCAATGTGACAAGAAGCATCAATCGTTTGACTCTGATACACACCTGACCTAGGGATCTCTAGGTGCACTGGTGTTCAGCCAAGTCATACCAGCCAGGGCCCCCATAACCTTTTAATGGTGATTGTTTCGCTGGTGTAAGGAAGTGAGTTCCAGAACTCGGCTGAGTTGAAAGGCTCTCTCCCTATCCCTATGCAAATGGTAACTTCTTTTTTTTCTTTTTCTTTTTTTGCCACTGGCCGAGTTTCAGTCCCTACCTTCCTAATAGTAAGCAGAAAATTGGCGTATTTGAGATCTACTAGAAATAGAAGGGACATGTAATGTTCTAGTTTACTAAGAAATTTATCATCTGCAATTTAGAATCTCTAGCTAGCCTCCTTTTTAGAGCAGACAGCACTAAAAGAGCAGACATAGCTAATAGGCTAGGTGGGAGAGGAATCAGGGTTTTTGGGTTTTTTTGCAGTATTGATATAAAAGCTACCTCTGTGGGCAGTAACCCTTAAGGAAATTGCATTATTTTTCCCCTTGAATTTAGTTACTTCATAGAACTTTCTGTGCGTCTAGACCAGCGGTCAGCAAACTGCGGCTCACAAGTCACATGCGGCTCTTTGGCCCCTTGAGTGTGGCTCTTCCACAAAATACCACTTGTGGGCGTGCACATACAGTGCTATTGAAACTTCGTGTCCTATGCGCAGAAGTGGGTTTTCGGCTCTCAAAAGAAATTTCATTCATTGTACTGTTGATATTTGGCTATGTTGATTAATGAATTTGCCAACCACTTGTCTAGACCAATGTACAAACAAGTCAATCTCCCACAGATTGATAATTGAATGGCAATAAATATTCTATTCTGTTTCATGAGGTCCTGGTTGTTGATTGTGTCATTTTTTTGTGCCTTGTGTACCATACACATTTTACAATCTTCAGTGTTTAATTTAAAACAAATGAGGTGGAATATGCTAGAATAATATAGTATTGCTTTCCTTATGTTATAAATGTTTTTTACTTTCTGTATGATGTTTTCTTTCTGAGATAGGACAGATCTGATAGTTTCATGCTACTAGATCCACAAAAGCCTCCTGAGAAGCCGGGAGAGATGTTTTTGTTGTTTAAATCGTTTTAATGGCCCTAACCAGTTTGGCTCAGTTGATAGAGCATCAGCTTGTGGAACAAAAGATCGCAGACTTGATTCCAGGCGCGTACCTTGGCTGCAGGCACATCCTCAGTAGGAGGTGTGCAGGAGGCAGCTGACCGATGTCTCTAACTCTTTATCCCTCTCCCTTCCTCTCAAAAAATCAATAAAATATATAGTTTTAAAGTAAATCGTCTTAGTGAAAATTAAACCCAAACAGAAAATTAAACCCAGACTCTAAGAAAGAGCCGAACAAGTAACACTTCCCTGCAGTCTAGACTTTAGAAACAGGACTTCCCTCGAAGCCTTTTTACGCCTGCTCCTCCAAAGTCACTGGACTTTGGAATCGGCCGCTGACATACCTTTAGGGTTGAAAACCTTGACACTCATGCATAGTTTTAGAAAAGTAGATAATCTCTTACTCTCTAATATTTTATCTATAACCCTGGAGTATTTTTCTGGGCAGTAAGGTTCCTGTAGAACTTTATTCATGGTTTATTGTAAGGATTAAAAGTCCTTCATGTGCTACTGGACTTTTTGCTTTTCAGGATGACAACATTCAGGTATTTATAACCCAGGAGCTGTCAGGCTTCTGACTGAAAATGAAATGACATGAACTTTGAGCCTGGTAATGCTGCCTCAGCTTTGTAGTTTGCTCTCTGAGTAACATTTTTATTTGTATTTATATTTTGATACCTGTGTGTCTGACACTGACAAAGGCCCAGAAGGAGCAACTGTGAATGTTAAGTGATTTTAATATTATAAATTTTGAGTTTTAGAAAACAAAAGATTTTTAGCTTAATATCACCTTGTATAGATTTTTCTATATGTGGCAGTAGTGATTTCTACCCCCCAACCCCTATGAAATCTATAATCAAGCATTAATCAAATGCGAGAATTCATTTTGGTTATGTAATATGAGAAGGATCCTTATTTTATATAATGCTCATTGAAAAGTATCCTAATACCTGCTCAACAGATTTGGAAAATTCTGAAAGAATCTGCTTTATTGGATCAGTTGGGCCTATTCCATGTTATTTTCTTTAAATATGTTTATCCAAGCAAGCACATGGCTGTGAATGTCCCCACTGACTGTCAGTATTGCTGCTTGCTCCTGCTGATTTATTTGAATGAGGGGGAGAAAGTTGATACGTAACTTTTTAAAAAAATGTTTTTGTTGATTTCAGAGAGGAAGGGGGAATGAGAGAGAGAAACATCAATGATGAGAGAGAATCATTGATTGGCTGCCTCCTGCATGCCCCACACTGGGGATGGAGCCTGCAACCTGGGCACGTGCCCTGACTAGGAATTGGACCATGATCTCCTGATTCATAGGTTGACGCCTAAGACACGCTGGCAGGGCTTATATATTTATGATAAGTATTTCATAAATGAAAAGGGAATGCCTTGGTAGGAATTAAAAGGCCCTGGGCCAAGCATTCTCTGTACGAGATTTTAGAAAAGATGTAAAAACATTTTGAAGGGAGAAGGGGTGATATGTTTTACCCTATAAGTATTATGGACTAATGCATCTGATAAAAGAGTAGTATGCAAATTAACCATCACTCCATCACAAAGATGAGGGCACCCAGTCCTTTCAGCCCCACCGGAGTTACCCAGTCCGGGGGTAGAGGGCAGCCTCTGTAAGCAGCCTGGCAGAATGCTTGCTTAGTTGCTGCAGTGACTAAGCAGGTGTTCCACGCCCACCATGGATGGGCCTCTGGGCAGCAGGCGCGGAGCGGCTAGGTCCCACAGAGAGCTGCTGGCACACAGATTCATGAGCAGGGCTAGTCTATACCAATAAAAGGGTAATATGCCAATTATACCGGGAGACCTTCTGGACAAAGCCATGGTGACGGGGCCGAGGCAGAGGTGGTTAGGGACAACCAGGCAGGCAGGCAGGTGAGTAGTTGGGAGCCAGTGATCCTCGATTGAGAGAGAGATGTCCGTCTTCCTGTTTAGGCCCAATTCCAGGGATCAGGCTAAACCAGCAGTCAGACATTCCCCAAGGGGTCCCTGCAGGCCGGGCTGAGGGACACCCCACCCCCATGCACGAATTTTGTGCACCAGGCCACTAGTATTGAAATTTTTCCTGTTTTTATCCACAGCTTTCCCATGGTTTGGCATGGACATTGGGGGAACTCTAGTAAAACTCTCATATTTTGAACCGATTGATATCACAGCAGAGGAAGAACAAGAAGAAGTTGAGAGCTTGAAAAGTATCCGGAAATATTTGACTTCTAATGTAGCATACGGATCCACAGGTATCCGGGATGTACACCTTGAACTGAAGGATTTAACACTTTTTGGCCGAAGAGGGAACCTACACTTTATCAGATTTCCAACCCAGGACCTGCCTACTTTTATCCAAATGGGAAGAGATAAAAACTTCTCCACATTACACACGGTGCTATGTGCTACAGGAGGTGGTGCTTACAAGTTTGAAAAAGATTTTCGCACAGTAGGTGTCTGGTACTCAAAGCCAAAAATTGGTGCCCAGTCTCTTCCGTTTTTAAATATGAGGCTAGGTTTCCAACCAGTGTATTTCTTAGCTTACCTAGTTCCTCCTGCTGATCCATGACTAGCTTTTGATTTGAGGCATTTAAACACTTTTATAAGTTCATTACAAAGTGCCATATTTGGGGTTAGTGTTGTACATATTTGCTAAAAAACTGCTCTTGTTAGGGACTACAACAATAAAAAGAGCTTCAATGAATTTTGACGGTGTACAAAGCCAGGTAGAAATGTGGCTTGAATTACTCTATTATTGTGTTATGTTTGCAGGTTTTGAGTATGAGCCAGATGGTTGTCTCTCCATAGCCATCTCCTTCCCTAACCCCAACTGAAGCCAGTGTCTTCTGGTTAGTCGACACTTGATTAAAAGTCCCTGTTACCCCTTTTTTCTGGTTTTATTTACTTAAATATGTATTTATTTAAAGGCAATTATTTGGATATGGCAAGAGGGCTATATAAGTGCTGATTTATGTGCTAGTAGAGGTTTGCCAGACTCCTGTCCTTTTCATTAGAATCAAGATTTAAAAGTTGGTATTTGGGACTAATAAAATTTTCCCTTGAAAATATGCATGTATGCAATTTAATTTCTCAATTCACATAAGAAAAGTGTTACTAGAACAGAAGTGATCACTTATATATGGCTCGCATAAGCAACCCCCTTTGTAATTGAGGATAATTTAAGAATCTAAATGTTTATTAATTGTTTTTCCTTAATTGACAATCCTGATTTCAATTTATTGAGTAATTGAAACATAAAGTTTATGACTTTGAGACCGGTTTGTTTGGGCGTGTTTTCCAAAAGCCAGGGGAGAGGTCAGGCATCCCACGTCCCTGTGACTGAATGTTAGTCTGGTACCTCTGTCCCAGCGGTCAGCAAACCGTGGCTTGCTAGCAACATGCGGCTCCCGAGCTGAGGTTTGCCACTCTGTTGACTAATGAGTTTGCCAACCACCTAGTTCATAGGTCAAAGTTCAACTACTGAGCCACAGTGTTCGTCTTTTAAATGCTTAGGTCAGTGGTCAGCAACAGAATGGCAAACTGCGACCACTGCTCTATCCCATCTTCGTGAAAACTAAGATGTCCTCACAGATTTCCAAAATGCCTCCCGAGGTGCCACTGAGGCCACTGGACTAGATGAAGTCCCAAAGAGAATTTGACACAAAACAAAAATGTAATAATGTGGGGGTCGTAGATGATTTTGAAGTTTTGTAAAGTACATGAAAATTAGACAGTATAACTGAGTCGGTATTTTAAATGCTGGTTTTTGTTCACTTTATAAAATTTGTTGGTATTCTTTTACAGATTGGAAACCTCCACCTGCACAAACTGGATGAACTTGACTGTCTTGTAAAGGGCTTGCTGTATATAGATTCTGTCAGTTTCAATGGACAAGCAGAGTGCTATTATTTTGCTAATGCCTCAGAACCTGAGAGATGCCAAAAGATGCCTTTTAACCTGGATGACCCCTATCCATTGCTGGTAGTGAATATTGGCTCGGGTGTCAGTGTTCTAGCAGTCCATTCCAAAGACAACTATAAACGAGTGACTGGGACAAGGTAAATAACGAATATTTAAATTTCATTAGTGCCAATTGGCATTAAAATTCCCATAATGTTAAGCGAAGTGCATTTTTGCCCTGGCCAGTTGAACATCATCCTGTGTTCCAAAAGATTGCTCATTCGATCTTATTCAATTCCTGGTCAATGCCATATAACCCAGGTTGGGGATTCATTCTCCGTCGGGGTGCATAAGGGAGGCTTCCCATCAAGGTCTCTCTCATATCAGTGTTTCTTTCTCTCCCTCTCACTTTCTTTTTCCCTAAATTCAATAAACACAATTGAATTTTTGTCTGGAGTGGTTCCAATGACTTTTTTCTATTTTCCAAAGCATTTTTCTTCTTGCCTTATTTTTCACATTTTTATAGGTGTATTTAAGGCTAAAGCTTGCCATCTGCTGATGTCATGCAGAGTATTGGGTAATGTTGTAATTAATTCTTACAGGATGAATTAGTATGCATTCGTTATGGAATAATATTAATGTTCCAAATACCCTTTCAAATTTTCTGTAGGACCTAAAACATGAATGTGAAAGATTTTAAATTTTTTTCTATGATTCTGATATATACCTGATGGATGTTTAAGGAGGGTGAAGACTCCTCTTTATTTAATTTAGATCAGTTTGGGCATATTTCAGATTGACCTATGGAAAACTCTTTTCAATTTTTTATTGATTTCAGAAAAGTGAGAGGGAGAGAGAAAGAGAGAGGGAGAGAGAGAAAAACACAGAGAGAGAAACATCATTGATGAGAGAGAATCATGATTGGCTGCCTCCTGCACACCTCCCACCAGGAATTGAGCCTGCAATCCAGGTATGTGCTCTTGACTGGAATTAAACCCAGGATCCTTCAGTCCTCAGGCCAATGCTCTATCCACTGAGCTAACCCAGCTAGGGCCTCATTTCAGTTTTAAAGTAGCATTCCTATTTAAATAATACTTAAACTTAATAAAATTATTTTATTTTTGTGGTGGTTAAAAATCTACTTCCATTGTAACTATGCCACCAAATTACAGGAAAGTACCGTGGTTCCCTTTTATGTGTGGTTTTGCTTTCTACAGTTTCAGTTACTGTATTAAATCATAATATTAAATCAAATATTAAATAATAATTTTCAGAGTTAAACAGTGTATGAGTTTCAACGTGCACACTGTTCTGAGTAGCATGATGAAATCTCCATGCTATCTTGCTCATGATGCTCCCTATGTATGTACACTTCCTGCCCCTTAGTCACAGAGTAGCATCTCGGTTATCAGACCCATTGTGGCAGAGTTGCAGCACTTACATGAAGTAATTATTTTATTCAATTATTGGAGGCCTGGTGCGTGAAATTCATGCACTGGGTAGGGAGGTGTCCCTCAGCCCAGCCTACACCCTCACAATCCGGAACTCCTGACTCCTAATCGCTTGCCTGCCTGATCACCTCCTACTCGCTTCCCTGCAGGCCTGATTAACACCTAACTGCCCTGCCAGCCTAATGGCCCCCAACTTCCCTCATCTGCCAGCCTGGTCCCCCCCAACTGCCCTCCCCTACAGGCCTGGTTGCCCCCAAATGCCCTCCCCTGATGGCCTAATAACCCCCTACTGCCCTCCCCTGCCATCCTGATCTCACTCCCAATTGCCTTCTGCTGGCCAAATTAGTTCTGATTGGTCAATTTCTATGCCAGTCAACATCAAAAGCTCTGCCTCCTAGACAGCCATTGGCTCCTCACAATTCACCCAGATTTTGTTCTAATTGGTCTGTTTCTATGCCAATCAGTGTCTCTGGGCCTGTCACTGGGGCCTGATCAGAAAGGTGAGGCTGATCAGCTTGCCCGGTGGAGACCTAGAGAGAAATGGAGGCACAGCTGCTAGCCAGGCCCAGAGAGAAAAAGAGGCAAGTGCTGATAAACAGTTGCCACAGAGGCTACAGATCAGACTCTTGTTCTCTCTTCAGGTCTCTCTCCAGGCCAGGCCTGATTCACAACCCCCTCAGCAGTCAGTGGTGACCCAGCATTGATTGCAGGACTGACTTCTGGTTAATCGAGCCTCCAGTTGTGGATGTGACGGACCCAGGGTTTTTATACCTATATAATAAAAGCATAATATGCTCCCCTTGACTGGGAGTTCGACCAGAAGGCGGGGCTGGCCAGCCAACCACCTATGTCCCCTCTCCTTGGCTGCCTTGCCCCCATTAGCCCTGATCAGGATAGGCCAGCAAGCCTCTAGTATTCAGATAATGACCCCAAAGCACAAGAGCAGTGATGCTGGAAATCCAGACATGCCATCAAGAAGCCTTAAAAGTTCTTGAAAGGAAAGTTGTCGAATTAATGAGTAAAAGAAATCGTATGCTAAGGGGAACAAATTTTCTATGCCTAAAATTATGAAAGATAAAAAAAAATTGCCTGCTAGTTTCGCTGTCACACCTCCCAACTGCCAGTGTTACAGCAACAGCATGTGATAAGTGCTTAGTTAAGTGAAAAAGGCATTAAACTCGAAGTTGGAAGGCGAGCAGAACCCATTTTCTGACTGATGGCGAAGTGGTGCCCCAAAAGCACTGAGCCTGCAGGAAGCCGTCAGCCTGGGATCCCCTGACACGAGTGCCCACATTCACATAATATAACTTATTCCAGTGTGTTGTTAGAATTGTTTTTTTTTCTTTACTAGTTACTGTTGATTGCTTACTCTGACTAGTTTATAAATTAAGTTTATTATGGATACATATAGGAAAAATAGAGTTCATTACTATCTGCAATTTGAGGCATCTACTGGAGGTCTTGGAATGTGTCCCCCACAGATGAGAGGGGACGACTGTATTACCTACTTAAATCGATTCTAAAAGACAGAAATTCAGCCTGTTCACTATCCAAAAGAATAATAGAACCAAGTAAACTTCTATCTTAACATGATGCCCCAGCTGACATAAATCTCCTTGTTATCTTTATTTTTGGGTCTTGTAAACGGTAATGTAGCAGTGAACTGCTTTCAGCCTTGTCAGACCAAATAAGTAGGCCTTCCACAGAATCATATCCTGGAAATCCTATAGAATCAGAAGTTTTCTCCTTTCACTTTAGATGGTGCACATTTTTAGCACTTAATCCTTTCACATGCACATAAAAACATTTATTGTTAGCAGTAAAAGGTATAAAGGATCAGCTGACGTTATTGGAAGATATAAAAGACCCTCCTGTCCTCATGTTGTTTCGACCAAGTGATCTTTTTTCCTTTTATTCTTCGACCTCACCAGTTAGGTTTGGCTAAGCATTTTTAACTTTTCCTCAGTATGTTAATATTTCAGTACTAAGCATTAGCAATATGTTGTTTCTATGTGTTTATTGAATAAATAAGTGCTCCATCCTTTTACTCTGGAGAAAGAATACAGTGTGTAAATGCAGCTCATAGAGTTTATTTATTTATTTTAGCCTTGGAGGAGGTACCTTTCTGGGCTTATGCAGTTTATTGACTGGCTGTGAAAGTTTTGAAGAGGCTCTTGAAATGGCATCCAAAGGTGACAGCACCAATGCTGACAAGCTGGTCCGTGATATTTATGGAGGAGATTATGAAAGGTTTGGCCTGCCAGGTTGGGCTGTAGCATCTAGGTAAGTTTAACACTTGTGTTGTAATTAAAGTTGCTTATTTATTGATATATCCAAAATAAATAAGGAACTCATATAACTTACACCAAAAAACAAAACAATCCAATTACAAAATGGGCTGGGGACCTAAACACACATTTCTTCAAAGAGGACATACAGATGGCCGATGCTCAACATCACTAATTGTCAGGGAAAGGCAAATTAAAGCCATAATGAGATACCACCTCATAACTGTCAGAATGGCTATCACCAGTAAATCAGCAAATAAATATTGGCAAGGATGTGAAGAAAAGGGAGCCCTCGGGCATTGGTGGTAGGATTGCAAATTGATGCAGCCACTATGGAAAACAGTATGGAGGTTCCTCAGAAGATTTAAAGTAGTGCCCTAACTGGTTTGGCTCAGTGGATAGAGCATCAGCCTGCAGACTCAAGGGTCCAAGGTTCTATTCCGGTCAAGGGCATATGTACCTTGGTTGTGGGCACATCCCCAGTGGGAAGTGTGCAGGAGGCAGCTGGTTGATGTTTCTCTCTCATTGATGTTTCTAACTCTATCTCGCTGCCTTCCTCTCTGTAAAAAATCAATAAAACATATTAAAAAAAAAGAGCAAGATCCAAGATGGCGGCTTAGGTAAACACACCTAAACTACTGCCTCGCACAACAATTTCAAAACTACAACTAAAAACAAAACGTCTATCTCCCAGAACCACGGGAAAACTAGCTGAAAGGAAGCTCTACATCTAGATTGAAAGAGAAGGGAGCATTCAGGGCACAAGAGCTGAAAAACTGATGTACAGAGGCATGAGGGTGATACGGGCAGGCGGTGGATCCCGGCTGGTGGAGGGCGTTGCTTTCTTCAACCGGAAGAGAGACAAGCTCCTAATCCTCTCTGAAATCCAGTTTCTGGGGAGAAGCTAGACTGTCTGTCATCGGGTTGGAAAGTGAGGGTGGCTTGCTTGCAGAGCTCTGTGCAAGAATAATTGTTTGCTGTGCTTGGGCAAGAGACACAGTGACACGGGTCAGAGAGGCAGAGAAGGCCGACTGTCAGCCATAGCTGTTTGCCACGCCCTAGCCTAGAGATTCCCTGAGACTCCACCCTGATACTCTGCCCCGCACAATCTACAAACACACCCAAGCTCCAAGCAGCGGCTTTTGCACATAAATGACCTCTGTTGCAGTTTAACCTACCAAACTTGCAACCTGGTGCAGATGGCTCCAAAGCTTCCAAGCTCCAAGCAGGGAGGAGAGGGCTGTGGTTCTCGCTGTAGCTCCTGCAGGGTGGCCTCAGACAGTAGCTGAACTGCACCCCATTGGAGATCAGGAAACAAGTATATCTAGTGGTCAGTGTGAGACAACACCAGATTTCAACTACTCTCATAAGGGACATATTAAGAGACAGACTCAGTGAGAACCAAAGCCCTGCGGCAGTGTTTCCCAAACTTTTGAAATATGTGTACCTCTTCTATAATTTTTGTAATGCTGAGTACCCCTCGTATTCATGAGAAGGTAGAATTAGGCGCAGTTAAGCACGGTGCAGTACATATCCCCATCAAACTCCGGTGCAACACGTACCCCCACCAAACTATTCCCGTACCCCTAGGGGTACACGTACCACACTTTGGGAAACACTGCCCTACGGGAACAAGTCCTCCCCCATAAACGTGTCTCCAGCACAGCAATTCGTCTGTTATAGACACAGTGGGTCCTCACAGCCAATTGGCCTGGAGGTCATTCCTCCCAGTGACACCAACAACAATCAAAACTTAACTACAACAAGGGTGTACACACAATCGACAAAGGGGTGCACCAAGAGTGTCCACATCAGGCAACTGGGAGGCTGACCCATTGAACCATATAGGACACCCAGGCCCACAAAGCTACCCTAACAACTCAGGGAAGCAGCAAAAATGCCGAGGAAAGGAAACATCTCAAACAAAAGAAATGGAGGAAAACAAAAGACTGATATAGAGTTCAAAACCACGGTTATAAGGTTTTTTTAAGAATTTCTAGAAAAGGCCAATAAATTAAACAAGACCCTCGAGGATATGAAAAAGAAATTAAACCAACTAGAAATTAAACATACACTGACTGAAATTAAAAAAATATATATTATACAGAGACCCAACAGCAGACTAGAAAAACGCAAGAATCAAGTCAAAGATTTGGAATACAAAGAGGCAAAGGACACTCTTCCGGAGAAGAGAAAAGAATCCAGAAAGTTGAAGATAGTGTAAGAAGCCTCTGGGACAACTTCAAGCGTACCAGCTTCAGAATTATGATGGTGCCAGAAGAAGAGAGAGAGCAAGACTCTGAAAACCTATTTGAAGAAATAATGACAGAAAACTTCCCCCACCTGGTGAAAGAAATAGACTTACAAGTCCAGGAAGCACACAGAACCCCAAACAAAAGGAACCCAAAGTGGACCACACCAAGGCATATCATAATTAAAATGCCAAGAGCAAAAGACAAAGAGAGAATCTTACAAGCAGCAAGAGAAAAACAGTTACCTACAAGGGAGCACCCTTATGATTATCAGCTGATTTCTCAACAGAAACTATTCAGGCCAGACGGGAGTGGCAAGTAATATTCAAAGTGATGAATAGCAAGAATCTTCAACCAAGATTACTATACCCAGCAAAGTTATCATTCAGAATTGAAGGGCAGATAAAAAGCTTCACAGATCAGAAAAAGTTAAAGGAGTATATCATCACCAAACCAGTATTATATGAAATATTAAAAAGCTGTTCTTTAAAAAGAGGAAAAAGAAGAAAAAAGTAAAGATAAAAATTATGAACAACAAATACATATCAACAAGTGAATCTAAAAGTCAAGTGAATTAAAAATCTGAGGAACGGAATAAACTGGTGAATATATTAGAATCAGGAGCATAGAATGGGAGGGGATTGATAATTCTCAGGGGGAAAGGGGTGTTTATGTGGGGGGTACGGGAAGAGACTGAACAAAAATCTATACCTTTGGGCAGCGGAGCAGGTGGGGAGATAAGGGCAGAGGGGGGAGTGGGGACCAGGTGGAGGGGAGCTATGGGGGGTGGGGGGAGGAGAAACAATTGTAATCTGAACAATAAAGATTTATTTAAAAAAAAAAAAAGATTTAAAGACAAACCGCCACAAGTTCCGACAATCCTACTTCTGGGTATTTATCTGAAGAAATACAAAATATTAATTTGAAAAGGCATATGCACCCCTATTTTCATTGCAGTGTTAATAATAGTAGCCAAATTATGGAAACAATCTTAAGTGTTCATTGATAGACAAGTGGGTAAAGAACTTATGATACAATGGAATATTACTCAGCCGTAAAAATGAATGAAGTCTTTCCATTTGCCACAACGTGGGTGGATCTAGAGGGTATTATGCTAAGTGAATTAAGTCAGATAGAGAAAGACAACTATAACATTATTTCACTTATGTGGAATCTAAAAAACAAATGTTTAAACTTACAGCTACAGAGAATAAATTGACGGTTGTCAGATGGAAGAGGATTGTGGAGATGGGTGAATAAAATAGTCACAGGGATGTCAAGTACAGCATAGGGAATGTCTAATAATAAAAGTGTAATATGCTAATTAGACTGGACATCCTTCCTGGTGAAGCCAGGGCCATGAGGGAAGCCTGGGTCCCAGGTGCCAGAGGGAAGCCAGTGCCGGCAGCCAGGGGAAGGCCTACTCTTGCACGAATTTCATGCATTGGGGCTCTAGCCCTATCTAATAGAGTAAGATGCAAGTTGACCACTTCAACACACAAGATGGCCTCCCCCATGTAGTCAAAGATGGCTGCCCCTGTGTGAACACAAGATGGCTGGCAGGGAATGGCAGTTGTGGGCAATCAGGCCAGCAGGGGAGGGTAACAATTAGGAGGGACCCCAGGTTGGAGCGGGTGCAGGCTGGGCTCATACACACATGCTCACACACAAATTTCGTGTACCAGGCCTCTAGTCCTATCTAATAAAAGAGTAATATGCAAATTGATCATCCCTCTGCCATACCTACCATCCAATAAGGAATATGCAAATTAACCCAACCAAGATGGCTGCAGCCATGGAGAGAGCAGGAGGCTTGGGTTTCCCTGGCAATGGAGGAAGCCAAGCTTTCCTCCTGTCCTGGCCTGCCTTGGCCTCTGCTTAAGACTACAAAGTTTCAATTATAGAAGATAAATAAATCCCAGATACCAGGGCCTCTGCTTGGATCACTAGGGGGGCGTGGCCAGCCTGCCAACCACCACAGGCCCCTCAGGCCATCCCATGCCCCAAGGGAACCCCCATCCTGATCTGGGACATCCTTCAGCGCATACCAGCTGGCCCCCACCTGTGCACCAGGCTTCTAGCCTATCTAATCCTACCTAATAAAAAAATAATAACAATATGAAAATTGACGGTCACTCCAACACAAGATGGTTGCCCCCATGTGGTCAAAGATGACTGCCCCCATGTGGACACAAGATGGCCAGCAGGGGAGGGCAATTAGGGGTAAACAGGCAGGCAGAGGAGAGAAGTTGGGGGCAACCAGGCCTGCAGGGAAAAACAGTTGGAGGGGACCCAGGCCTGCAGGGAAGGGCAGTTAGGGGCAAATAGGCTGGCAGGGGAGCGGTTAGGGGCAATCAGGAAGGCAGGCAGTGAGCAGTTGGGAGCCAGCAGTCTTGGATTGTGAGAGGGATGTCCTAGATTGGATAGGGTGCAGGATGGGCGGAGGGACACACACACATACACACACACCGTGTACGAATTTCATGCGCCGGGCCTCTAGTATTCAATAAAAATGTAATGACTGCCGAAATCGGTTTGGCTCCGTGGATAGAGCATCGGTCTGCGGACTGAAGGGTCCCAGGTTCGATTCCGGTCAAGGGCATGTACCTTGGTTGTGGGCACATCCCCGGGGGGGGGGGGGTGCAAGAGGCAGCTGATCAATGATTCTCTCTCATCGATGTTTCTAACTCTCTATCTCTCTCTCTTCCTCTCTGTAAAAAATCAATAAAATATATATATTTTTTTAAATGTGATGACTATGTATGGGTGTTAGATGGTACTAGACTTATAGAGTGATCATTTCCTAAGTTATATAAATGTCTAGTCATTTAAGTTGTACACCTGAAACTAATACAATATTACATGTTAACTCTAATTGAAAATTAAAAAACAAAGTTGCTTATTTAGTTTTTAGAAAGCGTTAAGTATATCAGGAAGTTGTAAGGGGGCTTCTTCTTACTCAGTTTAAATTCCAAATTTTGAAGGCTCATGTTGTTTCAGAATTAGATCTTAGACGTCTTCCTGAGTGCACCCTATAGGAGTCCATTTTTATTAATCCTTGGGTATTCTTTCTGTGATTATGTCTTTTCAAATTAGCATTCTGGATTTCTTCAGATAAATACCCAGAGGTAGAATTGCTGGATCTATGGCATTTCCATTTTAAATCTTTTATAAATACAAATACATATACTTATCCTCCCCTTAGTTAGAAGGTAACATTTATATACCATTAACTAGCATACATATATACTTTTTAACATTTTTTTAAATGATTGGTTTATTTTACTAATTTGAGAGAGAGAGAAGGAGACATGGATTTGTTATTCACGATTTTGTTGTTATTGTTGTTAATCCTCACCCAAGGATGTTTTTTCACTGATTTTTAGAGAGAATGGAAGGGCGGGGTAGAGACAGAAATATGAGAGATACTTCAATATGAGAGACACACAGGGCCAGGTATCGAGCCTGTAACTGAGGTACATGTCCTTGACCGGAATTGAACCCAGGACCCTTCAGTCTGTGGGCTGCTGATGCTCAACCACTGAACCAGACCAGCTAGGGGATACATATACTCTGGCAGCATATATATATATATATATACATACACACACTATATTCTTTCTCTGCCTCCCTTTCTTTCTCTCCCTCCCATCCCTCTCCTTCCTCTATTCCCTTCCCTTCTTTCTTCCTTGTTAACTGTTTCATGCTATTTCATTGTTTGGTGATGTTGGGTTCCCATTATTTTGGTATGTTCAGTTAATCAGAGAATAACCTTGTATATGTGTAGATTTATCTTTAGGATAACTTCCCCGTATGTACGAAATGTTGCTTTTTATCAGCAGGTTTAATTTTGTTTTTTCATTTCTCTGCAGTTTTGGCAACATGATTTATAAGGAGAAGCGAGAATCTGTTAGTAAAGAAGATCTAGCAAGAGCTACTTTAGTTACTATCACCAATAACATTGGTTCTGTGGCACGAATGTGTGCTGTTAACGAGGTAAAAACATTTTAATTATATGAAAAATGTGAATTGGAGTTTTATGTGCATGGGGGTGCCGGGGGGGGGGCGTCCCTCAGCCTGACCTGCACCCTCTCCAATCCGGGACCCCTCAAGGGATGTCCAACTGCCTTTTTTTAAATATATTTTATTGATTTTCCACAGAGAAAAAGGGAGAGAGATAGTTAGAAATATCGATGATAGAGAAACATCAACCAGCTGCCTCCTGCACACTCCCCACTAGGGATGTGCCTGCAACCAAGGTACATGCCCTTGACCGGAATCGAACCTGGGACCTTTCAGTCCGCAGGCCAACGCTCCATCCACTGAGCCAAACCGGCTTTGGCTCCAACTGCCTCTTACAATCCAGGACCACTGGCTCCTAACTGCTTGCCTGCCTGCCTGGCTGTTTGATCACCCCTAACTGCCTCTGCCCCATCCCACACCAGAGACCCTGGGTACCCTCCGGCCAGTTGCAGGCACCCTTGACCCGGGTTTCCCTCTCTCTGGCTGGCTGCAGGCACCCAGGACCTGGGCTGGCTTCACCTGAGCCAGCCACCAGCACCCAGGACCTCAGGGTGGGCAGCTTGTCCCTCTCCCAGGTCGCAGCCTGGCTGGTCCCCATTCCTCTATTGGAAGCTCATTTATGCCTAGCTGGTCCCCATTTCTCTTGTGAGTTCTTTTGTGTGTGGCTGGTCCCCATTCCTCTCCCCCCAGTGCTGAATGTCAGCCATTACAGGGTGAGGGCGTGATGACCATTTGCATAATAGCTCTTTATTATATAGGATAGAAGGGCTTCTTCATGTTCTTAAAGAGACCTATAGGATAGAGACCTAATCCATTAAACCCCAAGATACATTATGGATGGATGTTAACACCCAAGACTCATTATGTATGTTATGTGCTCAGTTGTTACATGACCTTTAAGAAAATAGCAGGTAATTCGAATCAGAAATAGCACAAATAGATAATTACATTTCACCTTGGAAATACAGTCACGTACTGCTTAATGGCAGGTACATTCTGAGAAATGCGTCATCGAGCGATTTCATTATTGTGTGAACATAATAGAGCACATTTGTCAAAAGCCCAGATGTAGAGGGCACAGCCCACGCACACGGAGGCTGTATGGCAGAGTTATTGCTCCGAGGCGACAAGCCTGAAAGCATGATGCCTGTACCAAACAACATGAGATTAAATCAAGCACATGATGCAACCACGAGACCCGTGAATCTGAGGCAGCGGCGGCTGCTGTAAAATGGCGTACTGCTTTATAGCAAACTGCCTTCTTTTTGGAAAGAGAACACGCTAGAATTACAGTAAAAGTTTGTAGTATAGTATAGAATAGTATATAAGCCAGCAACAGACCTGATCATTGTTAAGTCATTCACGGTACAGAATTGTCTGTACTTTTATACGACTGGCAGTGCCGTAGGTTTACTTACACCAGCATCACACACATTTGAGTAACATGTTGTGCTATAACATCAGGACGGCTGTGACATGGCCATGACATCACCAGTCAATAGAAATTTTCAGTTCCATTATAATCCTTTGGGACCGTCATCATAGGTGTTCCTAAAATGTCAGTAGGCAGGGCATGGCTGTGCGTGACCTAAATCTCTTCAAGATGGAAGAGAAAAGGGCAGTGTGTTTGCGTGTGTGTTTGTGTTGTCTTTTTCCTGTTAATGTTGCATTTGGTTGGTGGGGTGCTCGGAAGTTTTCTTGCTGCCCTCGGCTTCTTTACAGTGCTGCCTTGTTGCATATGGATCAAGCAGCATTGTACAGGGCTATGAAGGCATTGAGACTCACTCTCCGGATACTTCCAGAAAGCATTCACTGCTAGCTACACTTAGCTCATATTTGGTTCTTTTTGTTTGAAGGCGACTGCGTATACAATTCTTTCTTCATGTGGTAGATATATTTATCCATTTAACTTTATGTTTCTTAATCGATTTTTTTTTTTTTTTTTTTTTTTCAGAGAGAGAGAGAGAGAGGAAAGGAGAAGTATAGAGAGAAACATCCATCTGCTGCCTCCCTCACACCCCCTACTGGGGATCAAGCTCAAAACCCAGGCAGGAGCCCTGACCCAGAATCAAACCAGCAACCTCTTGGTGTGTGGGTCATGCTCAACCATTGAGCCAAACTGGCTGGGCTCCATTTAATTTTTGTAAATATCAAGTACTTTTAACTGAATGGAGATTTTGCTTTGTGAAGGAGCCCTTTATTCAGTCACTTACTCATGGTATAAATATGTACAGATAGCCGTGTGCATGGCATTATTCTAGGCACTTAGGATATATTAGTGAAGGAAGCAGTGCTGACGTGGTGGAGCTTACATCTATTCTAATGATACAGTAAATAAATATTTAGTTTGTGTTAGGTGACAAATGCTGTTTTTCAAAATGAGAAAATCAAACAGGACAAAGAGAATTTGAGAATAGACCAGAGCCTGGCAGAGGACAGATTGCTGTGTAATTGGATGGACAGATTGCTGTGTAATTGGATCTTTGAAGGAGGCTTTATTGAAAATGTGACATTTACAAAGATTTGAAGGAAGCAAAAGAATTAAACATGTGGATATGTTGGGGCGGGCGGGGAGGCTCCAACAGAGAAAACAGCTGTGCCAAACCCCAAATTAATCCTCTGAATTATTTAAATCCAGAATTTTATTTCTTTAGTTTTTTTTAATAATAGGGTAATTAAATTGGTTGAGGGGAGTCACTAGTAGGCATTTTAACCTCAATTTGGGGGCTCTTCCACTTTTCAGACCTTTTTTTTCTAGCCCTATGTCTGGATTTTCACTGGCCGATTGTTTTAATAATTCTGGCTAGAGTTTACACTGGCAAATTCGGTATTCAAACTCGTATACCCAAAAAGTCAGTGTATCAGTAAGAGAGTAGAAATAGGATTCCTGGACGTACATATTCTGGAGAACACCAATTCCTCGATCAAAGGTCTCCTAGCCGTACAGCTACCTAAGGAACCAAATCCGTGAGTGGGATCTTAGCAGAATAACCTGGTGGGTTAGGCTGGAAGCCTAGGGTCGGGGTGCATGCCATACGCAGGCAGTGCTGCTCTCCAGCTCTATATAGAGTCCATAGGTTGCGTGTCATTGCTGAGCATACCTTACAACATCCTGGCCAGGTTTACAGCTTCTTTTAATCCTAAACACATTTAAAATACTCTTCCTTGGTTGGCCTCTCTTAATCTCAACAACAGCATTTAAGTAGCATCTTTTCCAGAACTTTCTTTTTTAAAATAGACTTTATTTTTTAGAGCAACTGTAGGTTCACAGCTAAAACGAGTGGAAAGTACAGAGAGTTCTCGTACGTAATCCGCTGACCCCAAGCCTGCACCACCTCCCAGCGTCCCTCCAGCAGCTCTGACTCACTCATCACAGCCCATGAACCTACACGGACACACCATCGTCCCAAAGTCCATAGTCTACTGGGGTTCATGCTGGCTGTACGTTCCATGGGTTTGGACAAATGTGTAGTCATGTCCAAAAGTCATTTTTTTTAAAAAACATACAGGATATTGAGGTATATACCAGGAATGTAGCAGGAACTAATAAATGGTAGTTATTTACATTATTTTTAAGTAGAGATATTGTGAAATCTATTTATAATTCTTTCTTGACGTCATCTTCTTTGTTCTTTTCCTCTAGAAAATAAACAGAGTTGTCTTTGTGGGAAACTTTTTACGAGTCAATACACTCTCGATGAAACTTCTGGCATATGCACTGGATTACTGGTCGAAAGGACAACTGAAAGCATTGTTTCTAGAGCATGAGGTATGACAGCAAAATAGCATTTGTGAGTTTTAATAGCATGCTTTTATATGCAGGCTTCTTTAGGCTACAAAACTATGACTTACCTAAATTGTATATTGATTCCTCACTTCAGTTTGAATTGGGGGGTGGGGGGGATTGGGGTTACTGTAACCTGGCAGGCACCCCAGTAAGTTGAGACTTCACAGTTCTGAGAGAGCAGTATCAGCTTCTTAAATATGGGGCCGCTTGTACACTTAGTGGGTCTTACTTTTTCCCCGGAGGTAACAAGTGAACAATACAAAACTATATAATTCAGCAATGAAAATTCTCTTTAATCTTCCCACCACAACCTCACCCTCACTGCCAGAGGTAACCACTGTTAACATTTTGGAGCTTATTATTCTTTTCATATTTGTTCACTACAGCCAGTTAAATTTTGACCTAAGCATATCAGTTTACGTAATGTTTCAGATTAAGTAAATTTACCTCAAATTATTTTGTTTCTGGTCAGTTGGCGGCTACAAGAGTTTTAATAACACAAGAGCAGAGTGTTTCCTTAAAAGCGTGCATATTTCATTGTCACTGCAGAGATCAGAATGGGAAATGCTGAGTTGCTCTGTGCGGGGTGGAGTCACTGAGAGTGGCAGGCTTAGCCAAGGGAAGTGAACTGAGGAAAGTGAGAGGGGCACAGAATTTGCAATAACAGCCCTAGAAATTTTAGTGTCTAAAAGCCACACTTTGCTTTGCTAGTGTGGCTCAGTGGTTGACCATCAACCCATGAACCAGGTTACTGTTTGATTTGCAGGCCTGATCCCCAGTAGGGGGCGTGTGGGCGGCAGTGGACCAATGTTTCTCTCTCATGATTGATGTTTCTTTCTCCCTTTCTCTTCCTCTCTGTGAAATCAATAAAAAGACATTTTTTAAAACCACACTTGAAAAATAGGTATTTAAAAGGTGTATACAGTGAGAATACAGTTTAAAATACTTTGATAGCTGACAAATCAAATTGGTAGATTACTGAATAGATGTTCTTAAATCGATATAATGTAAATGTGTTCTTAACAGTGGTTAATACTGTATGCTGATTTAAGAGCTGCACTACATTAATGATTGTTCTAAATTATACAGGGATACTTTGGAGCAGTCGGTGCACTTCTCGGGCTGCCAAATTTCAGCTAAAGCTTCAGGTTTATCTCTGATAATAAATGTCATCCAAGAGGAACTGAAAACCAGAGGCATAATTGCTGCATTATTTGTCACTGGAAACGCAGGATAAAAGACTAGCACTATTCCTGTTGCTTTTTAAATGTCAAAATGGTAAGCTGCTAAATGTTGCCATAGTAACAGCAAGAACTCGGTAGCAGGTGAAGTATTTCTAATTGAAATGCTTTCCCTTTTGTATATAGCCAGTGTTAAATCCTTTAATGCAGTACAGCCTCTGATTACTGAGCTTTCTCTCAAAAAGATTTTCTATTTATTTTATGTAGCCAACATTGCAGTACTGTATGCTCAAACAAATCTTAAAAGGCTCAGAAATGTTTAGCTCATAAAAACAATTAATTCTGAATATTTGTTACAAGTCTGTTCTATGTTTTGGGTATTAGTAAGCAGACAGTAACATACCCTGTATCAAAATTAATTGAAATGGCAATCAAAGATGATGATTTTTATGTGATTTTAGAAATGTCAAGGCAATACTAATTATTCATTGTTGTTTTCCTAACATAACCCCCCCAAAAAAAGCATGTTTATGTAATCTTTGCCCAGAAGTATCTTTTTAAAAGAAGTACAACCTTTTTTAAATGCCATAATTGAATTGAAATATTAGCCTGAATTTTAAATGAATCTTAGAAAATGCACATATTTGGTGACATAGCACTTTCTATATTTTATTAGTTAATCGATACATTTACAGTAGTGAATATTTTATAATTGGAAGCTTAATTATTTATTTGAAAGTCCTATGATGAGGTCCCAAAGACTATTCTAATGAAGTATGGCTTGCATGCATTGGGGAGTTCTTTCTGTACCACATTTATCTCAGGCCCAGACCCAGTCCTTTCTGTCTAATTAGATCTGAACCATCAAAGCTAAAGACTTAATTCTATTATGAACAGCAACAAAATCACATTTATTCTAAATTGATGTTATAGAAGTCAGAGTTTTTTTGAAACTGGAATTCAGAGGCCGTACTGCAGAATCATAAAAGGATCAGTGTTTTGTACATCCTGGTAATAAAAGAATTATAATTCCTAAATTTACTGTAAATCCCTTTGCCTTAGAATTTGTTCTCTGTTTTGAATCATTTTTATAATGCTGTAAACCTTCTCAGATTTTTACTTTGGCAGTAACATTTGTTAGAGACTATATAGCTCATGGTTCTTATGAAGTAGAGAGGCTTGGGGAAACTAATCACCTCCTTAAGTTACCATAAGTCTGGATGTGCTCTGAAGAACTTACAGCTGTTTACATTACGGAGAAGTATCGCGATGCTTCCACAGAACACAGTTTTGCTCCATGGAGAACAGTTTTTACTAGACTATCAAGAGGTGCTTCCAGTTTTCAGGATCTGTGCTCAAATACTTACAATTCGGTTTTCTCTTATTTAAAGACATTAACATGGGAGTAATAGGGAATATGTAGAGAAAATATGTCAACATAATCTTGCAGAATTTTAAATATTGAGACCTTTGGATTCATGTCAATCAGTAGACATTTTGAAAACCTATGGCCAAACGTTTCTTCTTTCATGTTTTCATTGTAATGGCGAGATATTTCAGCCAAAAGCCGCCTATTTAATTTATTTTAAAAGTTTGTGATTTGGGCGTTGGTACAAAAAGTTTTAATTCTGAATATTTTAAAAGACCCTAAATTCAAATTATATTTCTGTGGCAAATGGTACATTAGCAGCCATAGGCTTAGGTGGAAAGAAATGGAATGATCAAAGTCTCTATAAGTTAGTTTGATCAATATTTTGTTTAATTTGGAACTATGATTCCTACTATCTGTCCTCAAGAACTGCAGGTACTTACTAACACATATGTAAAGGGGAGTGCCATCTCACCACTCTGCACATGGCTTTTCTCCTGTGTGATCTAGAATTATTGGAAATATAAGAATACAGAATTGTGATGAAGGCTAACCAAGATTCTACTTTTGTATTATGACCTCAAAGAATTCTACGTGAGAATACAATGGTCCACAGATTTGGTTATAATCCCACTCAATATAATGCCTCAACATTTTGTGTTCTCGAACAGCGTTAATAGAAATAAAATGTGAGGCACGTGAAATTTTACATTTCCCAGTAGGCACATTTAAAGTAAAAAGAAACGGGTGAAATTCATTTTCATTATATATTTCAATTTATATCTGACATGCTATCATTTCAACATCTAATCAAAGTCACTTAGATATTTTACGTTTTGGTCTTTTACATTGGGTATTCAAAACCAGTTTGTATTTTAACACTAGGTTTCCAATTCTCAGTAGCCACATTCAGGTAGTGGCTGCTGTATTAATGTAGTTTTAAAGCTAGCTCTTAAAATTTGGCTTTTAAAAGAATGTTTGAGAGGGAGAAATATGGGATTTTAATTTTTAAAAACAAAGGATAGGAAGTATCATAGCTCATTTGGGTAGTTTATTTTATACAGACAAGCTGTATTTCTGACCATTCCATACCTTACGTTGCATCCCACCCATCGTAGTGGCTCTGTGTTACTGATAAAGTGCCCAGGACACATTCTGACTGCCCTAAGCACTCTCCAAAGTGTGTATTTCCTACACTGAAGCAAATTTGATGATTCCAGTGACTTAAATGTCCCCCCATCTTATCTAATTTAATTTTGAGAAGCCAATTTTAAAGAATTAAAGAGAGGCCCTATTCTTTGTTGAGTCGTGTACACATAAGAGAATTTTTAATTTTTAGATTTAATTTTCATTTTTAAAAACGATAACATTTTCAAGTGCAAGAATACTATCAACTTATTTTGAGGTTTAGTAAAGAACACAAGGTCTAGAACTTGCCTTTTAACTAGAGAATTTTAGAACTAAGCCTTTCAGTTCCATACCCCAGCTTCCCAAGACACAGTGTTGGTAGAATTGCCTGCCTGTCAACACTGGCAGTTCCTTGTTCAGCTACTTTATTTAAATACGTGGACTCAGTGTAGGAAAAGTCAATGCTGTTGCCAATAAAATACATGGTAATTGACAGGCCTTTAGGAAGTTCAGAATATTTGCCAAATATTAAGCTGCAAAGGTTCCTGAGTTTTTTGCCTTTGTGTGCAAATGTGATTGCTGTGTTATCAGTTCTGGTTTCTGAAGGTTTCATTTCTGTAAGCGAAAGGATGCAGCTCAGAGGAAAGTTTTTCCTCTGTGTCCAGCGGTACTTTTGCCTTCTAAGAGTAGTTCATCACTCTTAGTCTCATCTTGATTTCTTTCTTTTTTTAATATGTTTTTATTGATTTCAGAGAGGGAGAGAAAGAAGCATCAGTGATAAGCAAGAATCATTGATGGGCTGTCTCCTGCACGTCCCCTACTGGGGATTGAGCCTGCAACCCAGGCACATTCCTGCCGGGAGTTGAACTGTGATCTCCTGGTTCATAGGTTGATGCTCAACCACTGGGCCACACCGGCCGGGCTCGCCTTGATTTTTAAGGCCGCATTCTTGGATGGAAAGTTTAGCAAAGCCGTAGCTTCTAAATGTCCTTTGTAACCAATCTGTATTATATAGAATTTTTTTCATATTTTTTTAGTGTATCATTTTTTTTCTGGTTGAGCACTTAATGCTTTTTAACCTATCGCATTTGAGAATGTAGTTTAGAAAAAGACTGAAAGAATAATCACCAGGAAAAGAATGTGCATTATTTTCCATTTAACTTACCGCTTCCTGGTATGTTTAAACAAAAGAATAGAAACATGTTGCCTTTTGTAATAATACCTGAGCTGTTTAAGACGATTTGCCATGACATGTCAGTGATGTCCTATTTCCCAGTAAGTTGGTCTATCTTCCTGTGTTTTCTCACACCGGAGAAATTCAGCTAACTTTGTCTCTTCATCAGATAAGCTCACAAAATGGTATGCTTTGTGCCACCACGTCTTTTCAGTACTGAGTCTGGTAACCGGCAGGCCCAAGAAAGAATTTTCTTCCTTTAAAGTGTTTTCATTGCCTGTTTTTAAACCTGTGTTGTGAAAAGTAACTCATCACAGCTTTTGAGTCATTTCCACTTTCAGAAAGCTCCGATGTCTTCAGCAGTGCCCGTTGTTCGGGTCCTCAGTCTTGTGTGGTCAGCGGATGTGGGGTCACAATTTTGTTTCGTATTAGAAATAGCACCAGTCACTGGTCTAACGTATTTAAACGTCGTTTCCTTTATTTGTGAAACGAGGACATTGGTTTGTCACAGTGAGGCCATCAGTTGTCATCAAGTTTCTGGAAAAGGCAGGTTCTTGCCTCCTGCGGCAGCGCCTGCAGTGACTGACCCAGTCGGTTCAGACTGGCCTCATGTCTTGGGATGTATTTTGTGTGTATATGTCGATAGGTACTGGACTTGAATTCTCACCCAACCAATAGGATGGTATTAGTTATTTCTTACCATGTTATGTTACTGTCTATAATGAGCAAGTAGATATACCTTAAACTAATATGAAGGGATACATAGATATATTCGTGTGTGTGTGTGTGTGTGTGTGTGTGTGTGTGTAGATACTTCAATCAGTAAATATATCTGGAATTTTTGTTGTGTTAACTTCAAAATTATATGGGCATTATTATAACCTTATTTACATTCTGGCCCTTATTGTAATCAAAGTTTTTTGTGTTAAACATTTTCAGTCTGTTTGCCACAGCTGCCACTAATCTTGTGCTTAAGAGAATTAATGCTGAATATGTTTTTCAAAGACATAAATGAAGGTCGAAATCAAGATTTTGAATTATATAAATACGCAGCTAAATTTCAATTCTAAAATAGTGCTCTTTTTTCCTTTTTTGCTATTTCTTACATCTTTCACACATTGCAGTGCTTTCAGTTCCATAGCTATCAAAGGGCACATCGGCTTTACAGCATTGTAAAGCATGAGCAGACGCTGCGGGCCGTTTGAGGTCACTGGAGCCTGCGACCCGCCTCTGTATCTCGGCTGTCGTGCCTGCAGTCACTGGTTGTCGCAGGTGTGAAGCCATTTTGAAATCTGCCGGGTTTTTTTTTATAAGGTACCCTTTTTAGTTTACAACATTTAGAAACAGCAGGTAATTCTGTAGGCTCCTTGTCCAAATATAATGAATGGAATTAGATGCAAGTCATGGTAAGATGGTTTTATGATTTTTTTATACATTGTGTGTTTTCAGGTTTTTTGTGTGTGTTTTTTTTTACTCTTTAACTGAAGTTCAGTGGCATTTGTCTTAATTCTGACCAGTTACTGACCAAATCATGCACAGATTTAAGTTTATGTGTTAACTTTACTTATACAAGCCATGTCAGTTTAAGTTGCCTTATTCTCTTGAGTTGTTCTTGTCACGTGTAAGCTTTGTCATGGAATCCTAACACTGAATCTGCTGTAAAAATGTATGATGTGCTACGAATTGTATTCATAACAAACTAAGTTATAGCCTATTGTAACCTATGAGACATTTTTTGTAAATTGTCTAATTTATTTTTTCATTTATGTACAGTTTCCTATGTAAATTTTAGACTGTTTGTGTGGCCTGTTCTGGAGACTTTCTCCTCTCCCTTAATGCTTATTTGCATGAGAGAAACTTGGGTTTGGCTGGTTTGCACTGTATGGCCATGAAGCCACCGTCAGCACTCTGCCTTTTCTGTAGCTGGACTTTTTCTAGTTTGTTCATATTCTAAATGTTAAAGTCATGCTGATTTCCTACTTTCCAAATAAATTCACTAAGTTGTTTACTATGTGCATCTCTGTATTGACTCTTTATTTTACACATTTACTCCCACATCGGCATTCTGGTTACAGTCAGGGTTAGCTGGAATCAGCTGCAGCAGATCGCCACTCTGAGGACAAGGACTCTGTGCAGACTGTTCACTCTGCACCCCCTGCTGGGCACAGGGAAGGCGGGCAGTCCATCAATGACCGAATGCTGAGGGAATTCACTGTAAAGTGTTACCTCTCCGCTCTGCCCATCTAAGAAGTAACAAAGGTGACTGTCACCTTCCTCTCTACATTAGAAAGCGCAGATGTTCTTCAGAGACACAAACCTTGCAATCTAAGATGCGGATTAATTTTATGGAAAGAGTTCTGCTTTTCCTGGGATGGAGGCCCTGCTACCCCGCTCACACAGTCCCAGCAGGCCTAGGTGTGCTCCACGGGGGAGGTGCCGGACGCCCACGGCACTACCACCCAGCTCAGGAAGGGCCATTTCATACATGTTTCTTCCAAACCAGAACTTCATTTATTTTTAGTAGGCAATGCCTGTTAGATTCAAGTAAGTGGGTAGGGGGGCTGAGAGAGGCTTTGATGACCTTTTTTAAAAAATATATATTTTATTGATTCTTTACGGAGAGGAAGAGAGAGGGATAGAGAGAAACATCGATGAGAGAGAATCCGATCAGCTGCCTCCTGCACACCCCCCACTGGAGATGTGCCTGCAATCAAGGCATATGCCCTTGACCGGAATCGAACCTGGGACCCTTCAGTCCGCAGGCCGATGCTCTATCCACTGAGCCAAACCGGTTTCGGCTGATGACCTTTCTTAATATGTGAGGAATGAAGTTGGAAAAGGGACCTCCATCATTTCATATTGTGTGACTCTGGACTGCAGGCCCTTAGGAATGGTTGGAAATGTGAAGTACATAACCTGCCTGTTTAAAAAAAGAAAATCCAGTAAACCGGAACTCGGATGAAAATGGAGACTGCGACTAAAGGGGAAAATGATGTATCTGGAGTGGAAATAATAGATTTGAAGTGTGGACGGATAGAAGCAATTGGAAATAAGCTATGAAGAGCAAAAGCAGCTCAAGGCTACTTTCAGGGAGGAGAAAGGGAGTTGTATTCTATACACAAACCAAGTAAGTTTTTACAAATATGTTTTCACTGAGAGAAGGAGAGAAACATCAGTGAGAGAGACATCAATTGGCTGCCTCCTGCATCTCCCCCATTGCCCGCTGGGGACCAAGTCTGCAACCCGGGCATGTACCCTGACCTGGAACTGAACTGTGATCTCCTGGTGCTTAGGTTGATGCTCAACCACTGAACCACACTGGCCAGGCCAGACCCAGTACATTTTGAAAACAAGATGTCTCTCCATTCGCATGTTCCCCAGTTGAATGTATTATATAATGAACAAACATTGTTAACGTTTCCACATTTAAAGTCTTGATCACCTGTGATAAACACTATAGATTCTTATTTTGGGATTTTTTTTTTTTAATTATTATTTTTGAGTGTCTTTATAAAGTTTTGTTTTGTTGGGGGTTTTTGGTTTTTGTGTTTTTTGTTTTTCCCCGAAAATAAACTTAAAAAACCTGGCTCGTCCTTGTCTCCTCCTTTACATAAAAGATGGTACTTGTTGAAGTTTTTCTCAGGTTCCCAGCACACCTCGAAGTGCAGTTGACTGGGCACTTGGGTGAGTCAGTGCGTATTTCCAGTCAGGGCTCTAAACGCAAACCACGTCTCTGGAGATGGTAACAGATTGTCAGAGCCACAAAAGGGGCGTTCTTTGCGGGTGAAGGCCCTAACAGTTTTGCTCAGCTGAGAGAGTATCAGCCTGTGGACTGAAAGGTCCCAGGTTAGATTCCGGTCAAGGCCATATACTTTGGTTGCGGGCACATTCCCAATGGGAGAGGTGTGCAGGAGGCAGCTGATGGATGTTTCTAATTCTCTATCCCTCTCCCTTCCTCTCTAAAAAATCAATTAAGAAACATATTTAAAAAATAAAAATAAAAAAAAGTTTGGAGTCAGCTACCCTGATGTCTTTGCAAAAATAATCATTTTTGTCACATCAAACGTGCCTTTCAGAAAATTCACGGCCCTCATCTTGGAAAAAGGTAAGTCAGGACGTATTATGTAGGAGTGTGTGTGTGTGTGTGTGTGTGTGTGTGAATAAAAAATCCTGATACCCTGTTTTCACATTCCCTAAAACAGTGATCGGCAAACTCCTTAGTCAACAGAGCCAAATAATAGGACAACAATTGAAATTTCTTTGGAGAGGCACATTTTTTAAACTTAAACTTCTAACGCCACTTCTTCAAAATAGACTCGCCCAGGCCGTGGTATTTTGTTAAAGAGCCACATTTGTGGCTCCTGAGCTGCAGTTTGCCGACCACGGGCCTATAACATCTGCTCGGGACAATTGTTTAATGCTTAAAAAGGTTTTGTTGAATTTGTAAGTACTATTATTGTTTTTTGTTAACCTTTGGTTTGGGACCTGCTTATTCTTATTTTTTTTAAATAATGTTTTGCCCAGCCAGCAGAGCAGTTTGTGGAGTGAACGACCACTGGAGTCCAGACCCCAATAAAATTTAGGGAGCCAGCTGACGGCTATCTCTCCACACAGCCCAGAGAGCAGCCCCGACCCTCTGTGTCCGGCGGTATTTAAACCCATTCACTGCATCCTGTTTTTGCAGAGCAAACCGTCTAAAACAAAGCAGTTTTTCTTAAGTAACAGAATTTACAGGGTCCTGGCGCCCAGGGGAGTAACTGCATCCTGTTAGGAAAGTGGACAGTAGGAGTGACTGCATTCCCTTCTCAAGAAAACGGACAATAATTATCCCGTGAGGCTATCTTGTTAGCTGCAGCTGGGATTTATGGCCAAGAGGACTAGGAGGAAGCATGCTCAAAAATTCCCACTCTCTTAACAGTTTAGCATCGATCCATGAACCAAGAGGTTTGATTCCCGG